CAGTGTCTCACCACCCCCACAGGAAAAAACTTCTCTCTCACATCCAGCCTAGACTTCCCCTCCTTCAGTTTGAACCCATTACCCTACCCCTTGTCATTGCAGTTCCTAACAGAGTCCCTCTCCAGCCCTTCAGATATTGAGAAGTTGCTCTGAGGTCTCCACACAACCTTCTCTTCTCCAGGCTGAACAGCCCCAACTCCCTCAGCCTGTCCTCACAGGGGAGATGCTCCAGTCTTCTTAGCAACTCCGGAGTCTCCTCTGGACTTGCTCCAACAGTTCCATGTCCTTATGTTGAGGACACCAGAACTGTGAGCAGTATTCCAGGTGGGTCTCACCAGAGCAGAGTGGAGACTCTGCCTTGAGTAGCCCTTGGGTCAGGTTGTCAGTACATGACAAGACGTGGTGGGTGTTTGTGCTGCTGGGGCTGGAGCCTTCCCCACCGCAGCAGTTGTGTCACACAGCACACACATCTCCAGCATCACCTCACCTTGCTCAGGTGGAGGTGCCTTCGAGCCAAGGGGTGCACGAAGTAAACCTGTTCGTTTCTGTTTGCACAAGGAGCCAAGGAAAGACAGAAGTGCAAGATAAATTCAGTCCAACTGCTGCTGAGAACAGCAAGGCTTAGCTTTTGTCTTTTTCTTTCCCATTTCTGTGAGCTGGCATCCCTAATCTACTGCCACTGCCTTTAATGTGTTAATGAAAATGTCTCCCAGCAACTCTCTGTAACCCACAGGCAAAGCAGCTCAGTGCCAACAAGGGCTTAACAATCAGTAGAAAACCTTTTTTTTTTTTTTTGTGAAGCGGTGGAGCAATTCCTAGGGGGAAAATATCTTCTTAAATCCACTAGTCAATAGGCAAATTCTTAGTTACTTTAGGTTTTAACGCTGACCTTCCTGTTCTTTCAGACCGTTTGTCATCTTTAAGCCATGCATAAAAGGTAAGACTTGAACTGACTTTCAAAGAGCTTTTACAAACTCATAATTTCTTGTTTCAAATATTATATGCAGATTTGTCCTGCAAGATTTATTTCATTAGCCAAGAATTAATTTAGTTATTCAGGAAAGGGAAATGTGCTGTAGGAGACACAGTACTGTGCTTTAGTCCAGCTAAGCAGATGGATTAATCTTATGACAATTAAGATGTTTTGAAAGTTCTAGAAAGAAAAGTGATGGCAAAATTATTTAGTATTTGTTTGCTGAGCAAGCCCTGTTGTCAAGTACTCTGATGGATTCCTACCAACATGTTTCTGAAGTGACTCAGTTTCTCAGAGGAATCTTGGTGAATTCCTGAATCTGTTGTAATTCCAGTTCCTGTCCCAGAAGCATTTAAAAGTCAAGATGAGGCAGTTTTCAAAAGCACATGTGGAATGTCTAAGAATCTTATCAGGCAATTCATTACATTTTCCTCAACTTGCTCATTTTTTTCATCTCACTGTAGTAAAAATGTAGATAAAAATCTGTATCAAACTTCTTTGGGTTTACTATGTTTAAAAGGCTTATCTTGCACTTACTCTATTTTTGACCTTTCTACCCACCCTTTTAGGTGTTAAGTCAACACCTGATGTAGCTGGTTCTTGTTTTGATGTCCAGTGCCCCTCAAGCAGTGAAATGGTGCCTTATAACCCTCTATCTTCCCCTTCCAGAAAAACCTCAGCTTGATCCCAGAGTGAGCTAATAAGTTGTCCAAAGATTACCTGGTCACAAGCCAAACTGGATGTTGGATGTCCCTGTGTACAGCAGCCAGCTCTGAGATGGGGCAAGGTCAATGTGACTTGTTTACAGTGACACTTCTCTGGGTTTGGTGTAAAACTGGCACGTGAGTGGAGACATGATGCTCCACAACTGCTGTTGTCTGAAAAGCACAGATCTGAATAGCTTCCCCAGTCACCAGGAGGCATGATGAAACCCACTTGGATATTCATAAACATCATGAGAGGAAACAGGAACTGTCAGCAACATGAAACCATCAAGCAGAATGTGCCTTCTAGGAAAATTGTCTCTTTTTTTCAAGGCCACCAACTTTGTTGCTGAAAGAAATCATCTATACAACAAGCTGCAGTCCCTATAGCAAAGTAACCCCAATATCAGCACAGCAAATGTGGTGCCTTCTTTCTGCTAGCTGGCATTCAGCTGGCTAGCTTATCAGAATAAATAGTTCTGTGATTATCAGAGCAGCTGAAGGTCAAGATAATACAAAGAAATCAGAAAATAAAGCAGGTTGTCACCCATACACTGGGTGGATATTGGTCCCAGTAAAGGCTCATGAACAGGATGGATTGCAAAGCAGTTACCTGCCTGAAATAAGCTGCCTGGAGATGCTTTGCCTCTCATATAGCATTAGTTCAGGCCATGTGAGAGCCTGATTTTACATGGTGCTGAATGCCCCGAGGCTTAGTTCTCAGCCCCTGGTTGTTCCCACTCATTTCTACAATTCTCTCTCTTGAACTCAGCTGTATTTCAGTTACATCCACAGGAAGAGACATTTTTAGTCATTCGTATGCTTGAGCCTACTGGGAAGGATGAGCTACTTCATTTACAAACCTTGGGCTGACCATGGATGGTATCAATACTGTCTAAAACAGTTGTTTAGTCTGTTTTGCAGGACTTTTTTCTGCTGTCTCTGCTCGGAGGATGTAATGCCTGAGAGCAAGGTCAGCTGAGAATAACACAGCATGAAGGAGTTTGGTTCCAAACATCCAAGCAGAGCTGGGGTAAATCACTGCCCAGCTGGGTCAGCTCCCAGTTGAATGTATCCCTTGTAGAAAGTGGTGAGGGTAGGAGACTCTTAGGAGGTATCTTAAGGGGAATTCCAAACCTCAAGGACTTAATTAAATCTTTAGTTGTAAGGACTTTCTGACTAAAGGCAGTTTGGCACTGACACCCCAAGCTGTAAGTAGATTGCTGAGGCCATAAGCACTTTGGAGAGAATCCAGTTCAGTGTTGGGTCTTTCATTTCACTTCTCCTTAAGGTAACATACAATGTACTAAGGTCTTTTAACCCTGCTCCTGCATCAGCTCAAGAGCTGGGTAGACTCCTGAGAGAAGAATTATGCTGCTTCTTTGATAGCATGGCTGGGAACATGTTTAAAAGGCCAACTGAAAGCTTAAGATTTCAGGACAGTTGTGGAGCTTTCTGCTGGGCTCTGTCTGGAGGGGAAGAGGTCCTTGAAATCTTTAAACTTTGTTCTAATACAAGATTTTCTACATGTCCAGGGCAGCTGACAAGTCCTGTCTGTAACAAAACTACTGTCAGTGTAGTCAAAGCCATGCCATCAACTGGTTAAAGTGGTTGTTGGTCAGAAGGGTCCTGGATATGAAAACTCCTTTAAAAATATAGTATTCTTCTTCCCCTCCAAGAAGTGCCTTTTTACAGAATCTGGCAGGGGCTGGATCCAGCACACTCCAAGTGTCATCATCCAGGGGTTAAAATGGAGCCAGAAAACACACATGATGTGGCTGCCAAGGCAGGATGAGCAAACTAACCTATTTCTGGCTGCAGGGGTTTTCCTCCTGAAGCAATAGGATGGGTGTTGTTTTTCTCAGTTGACACATGGGTGAAAAGAAAACGGGGGGAAAAAATGAAAAGGAATAGGAAGATGAGAAAGAAGTAATAAGAAAATCAGAAATTCTTTCAAGAGACACCTTTGGCAAAATACATTTGTCTGCTCCTAACAGCATCGTTTAAAGGGAGAAGAGGATGCACTTGAAAAGTTGTAAATCTTAATGATGCTCTCCAACTTTGCAACTCTCCTTTAACTCTCCTAACCCTCCTAGTGCACAGATTTCATGGCAGCCTTTCGTCTGAGAAGCAAAGAGGCTTTGCATCTATTCCTGCCCTCCCTCCAGGATGAGAACAGATTGCTCCCAAGCTGTGCCAAGCCCAGAGAGTTGCTATTCCATAGGCCCCTGGGAGAAAACTGATGCTGTGCAGGGCTCAGGGAGAAAATCACGTGTTTGCTGGGAACTCGTGCCTGACATTGCTGGCTGGGAGACCATTAGTGAGGTTATGTAAACAGCCCATGGCTGCCACTCATTAAATAGCAACAGGAAAAAGCAAGGACATTCATATTTCAGCTGCTGCCAAGGGGATCTCATTGTAGAGCACTTGGGGAAAATTGCAGCTGGGAAGGGAAAGAAGAAGTTGCAGCCTGAAGTACAAGTATGTAAAGTCACTCAGTGGATGCAGTGCAGGCAAAACATGTAAAGAGCACACACTGGAGGGTGTTAAATCTTACCCAGCCTCCCCCCAGCTCTCGGCTTGGGTGTGAGGATCATTTTTTGTGCCAATAGACAACAACATGAAGTGCTTTCCCCAAACCTCTGCTCAGACGAGCTGCTTGTTAGAGCATAAATATTCACAAACGTTTTGAGGGCCTCAGCAGCAGCTACAGTCTAAATACTTTAAGGAGGTAAAGGGAGGTTAGATCCAAGTCCAAGACTTCCTGATGAGTTTGTAATTGTATAAGGATAAAACAAAGCCATCAGTCACCAGCTTTGTGCTGAAATGTCTGTGCATTCAGCGACAGCATTCAGCAGCTGTTTGTGGATGTTGTGTTACAAACACAAAACACACCTCTGAACAGAGTGGAAGAAGCTATTTTTTGTTTGTGTAATGATCTGCAAACCTCAGAACAGCTTCATAGGTAACAAACACCACCATGTTGACAGGAAAGGCACGAGCACAGTTTAAACCCAGTCCTTTGAAAAGCACTTTTGGCCCCTCCTTTCTCACACTTTCCCTGGCACAGTGGATGAGGCCTTTGTACTTGTGCTGGTCCGATTCAGCTATTTGCATCCGTGATTTGAGGACATCCATGGGAGTTCCTAAGCCCCAGGCCAGGACTCCAGCAAAACCACCAGAAAGCAGCACAACAAGGAAACCTGCAGGAGAGAGTGAAGGGAGGAGCAGTTCACTTGAGTCTGGTACAGCTACAAGCGTCTCAGATTTGTCAGCCAACTTTGCTAGCTCTCATGTTTTTCAGTTGTTTAATCCAGCTCTTGCAGTCGTGTGTTTCCAGTGATCTCACAGAACACTCATTTCTGCATACCTGACACTTTGGATGCCACACGAACTGGATGTGGTGCAGCCTGGGAACACACACACCCTCATCAGCAGGATCTACCCATTCTTACAATTCCCTGCCCTTTGCTGAATATAACTTATTCAATCATTTCTCAAAGTGGATAGTTGTTTTTTTGGAGCCAAATCACAACTGAAGTGTCTTTATGAGCTGCACCTAGACTTCATTTTCAAGCTCTGGACTGACTCTGGTCTGTGCTCCATGATGATTCCCTGGAGGTTTGTCTATGTTTAGTTTCAAGTTGTATATCCTATGTCTGCATTAACAGGATTTCATGCCCACATGCCAGGCACCAGAGCATGCCCTAAACACCTCTCTGGGAGGAGGAGCAGTAGCTGCTCAGGGACAAGGTTGTGCCCTCACACAGAAGGTGCTGGTACCCACACCTGGGGACCAAAACCAGCCCTGCACACACAGATCAACCCTGTGTGAGGATCAGATCTGGGTGAGGTTTTATAAGCAAGGGAGATGTTTGCTGAGAGCCTGGTTTCCCTCTTAGGGTAGTACTAAATAAGCCATTTTTGCAGGTGATGCCAGATGCTTTGTGATACCTACTTGGTTTGCTTCTCTCAGCTGGTGTGAGCCAGTCACACAGAGAAGTATAGGAAAGGAAATATACTGCAGAAGCAGAGCAATCCCTGCAGAGTAATGCAGAGCAGCCCTTGTAGAGACCTGCAAAACCTTCCTCCTTGGTGATCACCTTCAGGCAGTGCAGAGAGCCTAGGTACTTTGGCTTGGAAACAGGCTGAGATGTGGTGGAAGGATGTGGGTTCCTCTGAGTCTGCATCCGAACTTTAGCCACTTCGCTGGGGTTTGTCAACACAACCTGTAACAGCAGAGGAAGGTATTTTAACCCTTCACATGGAAACAGTGTTTTGATCCCCCTCCTGCAAACTTCTGGGCTCCCAGCTGAAGCCAGGAAGGTCCAGCTTCCTCCCCTTTGCCTCACCATCTCACCCAGCAGCAGCAGGACACACGTGTGAGCTGCACTGGGCAGAGTGGAAGGCAAGGCAGAAATCAACACAGGATATTAAATACCTGTGACTACTTTGCTAAACCAAATAGACATGAAAGGTGGATGTCCTCAGCTGCAGGGAAGCATGCATCAGGGCTCTTGTTTGTGTCTGTGTTTGGAACCAAGATCAGGAAGCACCTAGAAACCTGATCACCTGGGCTGCTCTGTCAGAGGACTGCTGTGGCTGGGCATGCATTTCTGCCCAGCATGCCAGCAGGGTGATGGGGTGAGCTCCACCACAGTCACAGCACCTGTGGATGTTCAGACATGTCCATCACAGACAACCAGCAGGAGGACAAGAGGGCACAGACTCAAGCTCTGCCAGGGGAGGATTAGGTTGGATATTAGGAAGAGATTTTTTACAGAGAGAGTGCTCAGGCATTGGAATGTGCTGCCCAGGGAGGTGGTGGATTCACCACCCCTGGAGGTTTTCAAGCTGAGACTGGATGTGGCACTTAGTGCCATGGGCTAGTGACCACGGTAGGGTTGGACTTGATGATCTTCGAGGTCTCTTCCAACCTGGTTGATTTCCTTGTAGGAAACTGCTCCTGGATTCAGCCTCACCTCCCTGTCCCAGGATCATGCATATTTGCCAGGCAGCATCGCTTCTCAGTGGTGCCCTGTTGAGTTTGGAGTCCTGGCAAGGCAATGCTGTGCCCATTTCTGCAGTGATACTATGCCAGGCTTGTGCAGCTGCTGTGGTAGCACCAACCTGTGCCTTAACTCACTGAGTTATGTCTTTCTTAACCTAAACACACCATCAGAGCCACTTGGGGAGTTCACTGCTCGTGTTGTTTTTGCTTCCTCATTCTCTATTTGCTGCCAAGATCCATGTCATTTTAATAGCATGTTCTTAAGTGTTTTGGAGCTCTAAACCAGCTCTGGCACGAGCTGCCCAGCAGGACTCAGCCACAGCAGAGCTGAGCAGTGAGGGGACAGCAGGGGCAGAGCATGACCTCCCCTGCAAAAACAACTCCCCTGGGCTCATTGCAGGCTCCCCTGTGGCCTCCCAGACCAAAAACATTCCCTGCTCTTCCATCCTCCTATGTTTGTGAACAAGATCTCTTGTTGTGTTTTCCCTTTTGGCTGTTTACCTACCCGGACAGCACCAGCAGCACCTCCAGCAAGGGAAACATCCAGCTTGGATGGCTTTGCATCTGCAGCCCCATATCGCAGCTTGCAGATGGTACAGAGGAAGTTTTTGTATGTGCCAAAGGAAACAGAAGAAACCACTGATACAGCAAGGACTGATGCAGACACGCCTTTGTAAAATCCCCAAACCTGGTGCGAAACAGAGGACAAAGATCATTTTTAGGAGTGAATGGCATGGGAAAGAATCTGTTCAAAAGCACTGACTGTGCATTGCCGAGCCAAAACTTGACTCCCATCTTACAGCTCATCAGCAAAGATAAATTTCAGTCTGACCCCTCTCCCAGAAAACAGTTGTGTATAACTGTTATTATAGGTTGAGGACGTTGGGGCTGTTCAGCCTGGAGAAGAGAAGGTTGTGTGGAGAACTCAGGGCACCTTCCAGGAGCTGAAGGGGCTCCAGGGATCTGTGTTAGGAGCTGCAGGGACAGGACAAGGGACAATGGGGACAAATTGAAAGAGGGAAATTTAGGCTAGATATTAGGAAAAACGTTTTTCCCTGTGAGGGTGGTGAGACGCTGTCCCAGGTAGCCCAGGGAGGCTGTGGCTGCCCCAACCCTGGCAGTGTTCACAGCCAGGTTGGCTGAGCCTTGAGCAACCTGCTCTGGTGGGAGGTGTCCCTGCCCAGGGCAGGGGTTGGGACTGGATGATCTGTAAGGTCTATTCCAACCCTAAAATTCCATGATTCTATAACTGCTGCCCATCCATACTGACAGAGGCAGCTCTGCTTCCCTGAACCAGCATCCACAACTGGTATCAGCAGTTCTGATTCTGAGGTACCTACCTTTTCTGTCCTATATGTTTCCTGAACGCAGTGCCAAAACCCTTTGTAATGCTTCTCAGTCTGAATTCTCACCTGGGAACACAGGAGCAACTTTTAAATGCAGGTACCAGATTAAAAAATTAATAAATCAACAAATGCTATAGCAGCAAAACAGATAATTGCCTATAAAATAGCATCACCAAACAATCTAATTTTTTTGTGAAAGAGAAAACAACACAACTGAATACAGTGAAATATGTAGATGCAACAAAGATAAAGCATTGTCACGGGACTAGTTTTCTGAATAGGAGGAGGAGGAAAGCAAAAGGGCCTATTTGGTTTTGTTCTATATTCAAGAAATAAAGCCCCAACAAGTACCTTCACTGTGTCCAGTGGATAACCCACAGCTGTGCTTAGACCACCTGAAACAGAGAATGTATAGGAGATGGTTAACAGTACATCACAAGAGACTGTTCTCACCCATCACAGAAGACCACTGGGGAACAGCAGAAAATGCAGCTTCAGAGCTGTGCTTGGCACCAGACATCTCTTGAGTTCCAGTGGTGATGCTTGAACCAAGAATGACAGAGAAAAACATGCAGATTTCTCTGTGTGACCAAGGCAGCTTCAGAGCATCATGGGAAAATTCCCAGGAGGAATAACCCCATGATGCAAGGTGGGACAGGGAGAAACTCTGCTCTGCTCCAGGAAGGTTGAAGGGATATCAGGCTGGTTTTGTTTCCCCTCTTGGCTTAGGCAGTAAAATATATTTGGACTATGGCCAAACACCCTCAGGTGCAATGCATCCCCACTCACACAAGAGAGTCTCTGGAGAAATTTTGGTTCTCTATGCTTGACTTGGAAATGTTAAGGAATAAAAGCAGCAGTCACAAGGATATCTATAAAAGAGGGATGATCCACACACATTACAGGTTCTTGACAATCTGTCTTGAAGACAGGAGAGGTGCTCCTGCTGCCTCCAGGGACTGACATGTCCTGGCTGAAGCTTGCAAAGTACATCCACAGCCCTGGGTGAGGAATTTATAGGGCATTCAGGTCCACAGCACCATGCTGGACTAAGCCTCTGAAATGAATTTCCTAGGTGCACCAAGCACTGCTGCAAAATCAGAGCAAGGAGTGAAAGCACAGGTATGTTGGAGCCCTGGCAGACTGGTGTGATGCCAGCACACAGCACAACCAGCAGCACTGCTCTGCAGGGAAACCACCCTCCTGCTGCTGCTCAGGGCTCAGCAGGATTTGGGGGCAGCAAGGAATTAGGTCTAAGTGTCTGCAAAGCCAACAGCTCCCCTGAGTGCCAGCTGACAACACTGACAGCGTGTCCAGCATTGCTGGGGGAGGGGAGTCAATCCTCCATCAACACCCAGGCTCACTCCAAGTCCTTAAAATAGCCACTGGAGTTGGAAACGTCTTAATCCTAGGAGACAAAGTTACTGGCTTAATGGCATGTAAGGGGAGCTAAAGAGCTCCAACATGGATTTGTCTTGTTTGCAGTAAGAAATGGATCCACCCTCTGCCTGCCCTCACCTCCCTGCGTTTCTCAGCTCTGATCTAAATGTTGGCAGATACAGCAGGTGCTGAAGGTGCTGTCCAGCCAACTTCCTCCCAGTACATCAACTGCCCAATCATCTGGGAGAAAATCAGGCTGAGGAACGATGGAGCTGTATCCACACGAGTTATTTTGACAGAGATCAAGTTCATACAAGTGCTGGATGAGCCCTTTAGGGAGCCAGGCAGTCAGAGATACTAGGCACAACTAGCTGCTGACAGGTTGGAAAATGCCTGTCATTGAGTCCTTCTTTAAAAAAAAAAGAAAGAAACAAGCTGCTTAAATACATATTTAGTTTCTGTGGGCATGTTCACCTATGATTGCACGGCTGCTTGGGAGCTCTGGAAAGCTATGTTTTGGAAAAAAGAAGCAGCTGCTGCTTTTAGTGACTGGGAAACAATCCCAAAGTGCATTACTCAGAAGAAAACAACCAACCACCTCTTGCTTGCAGAAGAATGAGGACTGATCTTCAAAAATCTCTACCCAATCTGACACCAGATAAACAGCAATGAAGAGGAAAACTGGGCTAAGAAACCAACTCCTGTGTTTCAAAACTAAAATGAGATCAGGCTGTAAGAGAGATGCCGAGGGGGAATACACAGGTGGCTTGAAGGAACAATGCCTTTGGTCCAGGCAGAGTGACAGCACACAAAGCCACCTGGGGACACCCTGGCTGTCTCAGTTCCTGGCCATTGGCCAGAGTAAACGTGGGCACTGCCAGCCGGGGTACAGCAGCACATATGTCAATGCCAGTGCTGACCTCAGAACTGCAGTCCCCTGGCCCCAGCAGCCCATCCCAGCTGGAGGATCTGGCATCACACTGGTTTCAGAATTCCTGAGCCTTAGAGGCAGTGCCAAGGGCTGAGCAGATACTGGTGGCACAGGAGCACCATGTGCCTTGCATGGCTAAGTCCTGCCTTCCTCCACCAGCTCAGGAAGGTAGGAGTCTTGGCTCATACAGATCACATACCAAGGCTGATTTGGGTCAGTGTTTAACAAGAACTGACCTCCTGTCTGGAGAAATCACCCTGTTCACACATTAAGATTCAAGAACAGCAGCATAGCAGGTTGCTCCAAAACAACCTGTTTCCCACTGCTTCTCAGTCCTAAGGGCTCCCAATCAACTTGGTTCCAGCAAGGACCAAACATCTCCACTTGGCAGGAGACCATAAAGGTAAATTTTTCACTGCTCCCACTAAAGATGTGATTCCCCAATGTGCTAGTTTGAGCTGAAGTAGAGTTAACTTTCTTCACAGAGGCTAGTATGGGGTTATGTTTGGGTTTTGTGCAGAACACAGGGTTGATAATGCAGAGATGTTTTTGTTGTTGCTGAGCAGAGCTTACACAGAGCCAAGGCCTTTGCTGCTTTCTGTACTGCCACGCTGGCAAGGAAGTTGGGGGTGCATGGGAGATTGGGAGGAGACACAGCTGGGACAGGTGACCCAACCTGACCAAAGGGATATTCCATACCATATGACATCATGCTCAGTACATAAGGGTGGAGGAAGAAGGAGGAAGGGGGAACATCTGGAGTGATGTCGTCTGTCTTCCCAAGGAACCGTTACGCGTGATGGGCTCTGCTCTCCTGGAGATGGCTAAACACCTCCTGTCTGTGGGAAGCAGTGAATTAATTCCTTGTTTTGCTTTGCTTGTGTGTGCAGCTTTTGCTTCCTCTATTAAACTGCCTTTACCTCAACCCCTGAGTTTTTGTAGCTTTTACCCTTCTGATTCTCTCCCCCATCCCATTGGTGGGGCAGTGAGTGAGTGGCTGCATGGTTCTTGGCTGCTGCTGGGGTTAAACCACGACACCCCAAACCTCCCAACAACTACAGCCTGCCATGAACTGCACTCCTTAGGAGTCAAAGCACCCTGGGCAGTTGTCAGAGCTTAGCAGCTCAGCCAAGTCTATCAAAGGTTGAGGAAGAAGTGCTCTGCACACTGTCACACGATATAAATAGCCTGGGATGAAGATAGCCTGACCCACAGATGCCCTGTTTGCACAGCAGAATCGAAGAAGGCCAGCAATGTATAGCATGCATACAGCACAGGGTTCCTGTGGGACTCCTGCTGAGTAACATTGCATCAGCTGTGACAAAAATAAAGAGCAAAACCAGGTGAATGACCTTTTTTTGAGTTTAATGAATCATTTTTATGCCTACTTTATCAGAGATGTTCTCAGGTGTGGTGCACACGTTGCAGCATCCTCTACACACACACACAGACTGCAGATACAAAAGGGATTACTCAGTCTCTTCACAAATCAGGTCACTCTGACCAGGCAATTCAAACAAGGAGAGATGCTGGTAGGGTGGCCACTACAATGACAATCACCAGAGAGCAAACAGCAGCTCTGTGGAGCTCCAAGCTGTTGGCAAACCCTTGGCTGAGAGACCCCAGGAAGAAGCAGGGATCATTGTCCATACACTGCATAGGTAGACAGCAACTTCCAAAGACCTTTGCTTTGTGAAGAGTTGGGAACATAAGTGCTCCATACCCTAAACCAGCTGAGCTTAGTTCAGTAACATGACTCTGGCAGTGGCCAGCAGGAGCTTTAGCTGTAAGGACAAAGAGACAGCATGTCCTTTCTGTAGGGAGACTATTTTATCATCTGTGACCTCACAGTTGTGGAAAAGCTCAGGCATGCTGCAGACCCTGCTGCTCTACCACTGCTGGATGAACCTCAGCTTCCCCTTTCCAAATCTTAACACCTGACACCAGAGTCAAATCATCTCCCAGTCATCAACAGCCCTAATAGTCAATACCTATCCCCTGCCATGGCCCAGGCTGCTGCTGTAGCAGGGCTAGAAAACATGAAAGGGATGATAGGAAAATTCAAGTTGGAGGAGACCTTGGGATGCCTCTAGTCCAACCTTCTGCTCAGCTTTACCGGCCAGGAAGGACTTCCTTACAGATGAGCTGCTTTCTAAAACATCCAGCCATGTTTGGTGGTTACTGAAAGTCTCCACATGTTCATCTCATGCTTTTTTTTCATCTGGAGTCACAGCAGACCACTATTTCCTGGGCTGAAGATGCTGAGCTTATCCCTTGGCCACAGAAGCCATAGCCCAGAGGAGATGCCCAACATTTGTGCAGGTGCCTGAGCAGTCTGAGGGTGGATCATTACATGGAATTTGTTGAAGACATGCTTTCGCCAAAACACTCTGAAAACAGACCAAGGTCACAAGAATGTTATTTACTAAACAGAATCTCTGTTATTTTTTATGTTGCCTCTTGAGTTGCTTGATGCTCTTCCAGCTGGGTTGGTAGCCTCCTTAGGAATATGAAAACTGCTTCAGCTCTAACAAACATAAGCCACAAAATAAGCTCAGCACCAAAAACATCCCAGTTCTTGCAGGAAAGCTGTCCCACCACAGAAGGTGCCCTGTGTCAGGGTAGGGATGATGACCCTGAAGTCCTGCCTAGGTATCTCACACATGTCTATGTGCAAGATTCCAGCAGGGAACAGCCTGCCAGGAAACACCTCTGTCTCCCAGTGAGAAGTGCATTATCCCTTCTAGAAAACCCTGGAGCCCAGCACAGATGACAGGATGGAAAATCCTGTTCTCTGACACCCTGGGGTCAGTAAAGTACCTTCAAACAAGCAAAGACTTTTCTGGTCCCAGCTGGATCTCCCCAACCTGCATCCCCTCAGGCTGAGCCTGTGTCCAGGGCACCCATGGGAGATGCTTGCTGCATGACTGGGCAGCACATGATGCTGGGCAGGGGAGCACCACACCAACCACAGCTCTGCATGGGAGCCAGGGCAGAGTGCCGAGGTGAATGGCCATGTTGAAACTGTGTTTTCAGCTCTCCATGTTCCCTTGCAAAAGAAGTTTGTCCTTAAGTGGCCTGTCTCCAACTATGCCAAAAAACCAAGGGAGTCCAAGCAACAAATGCAATCATCTCTGCCCCACCACGAACATGAAGTCTCAGAGGAGGTTTGGTGAATCCCTCTGGGATGGACCTCCCTTTGCCAGCCCCAGCACAGGGCTCCCTTCTCCACAGGGTGCTCTGAATCA